GCGGAGCGCGCCAGGGGCGGCGCCAGAGGCGCCGCCCAGGGGGGCCCAGGCGCCGATCCAAAAAATCCGCGCGGACCGCCAAAAGTGTCTGTTTATGCCGTTATTTGTTCTTCGAGGGCGGCAGCAGGGAGGTCTGCCCTGGAGGGCACCAACCCGAGCAGCGAGGCGGGGAAAGCGGGCAGAGGCGGCAGCCAGTACCCGTCTGGAGAAGGCGGCCCCGAGGTGCGCCAAGGAGCCTGCCCCACCCCCCTCTCTCTGACGGCCCCAGATGATGGGCCACTTTTCCACCACCGCTAACATGTGTAGTGGACGGGGTAGAAGGGAGGATGGGGAGGTCCTCCTCCTCCTCCTCCTCCTCCTCCTCGCTCTCCTATCTATGCTAGCGGTAGTGGGAAATCTCGGCCCATCACCAGACATGTGACGTCTGGAATGTTTCGGCACGGGGCCCCTTTATGGAAATCCCGACCCTCTCCCACGTACCCGCTGCTCATCCTGAGCCGCTCCTTTTGCCGGCCCCGAGGCCCAGCGGGATCCCGCCCCAGGCCGAAAACCGCCAGAAGCCCCTCCCTTAAAACGACGCGAAGATCGGGACAAAATCGGATCGGGATAATTCGAAATCTCTGAGAATCGGCCGGTTTGGAGGATGTATTGGGCGCCGCGGCCGCTCCAGAGCGTTCCGGAACGCTCTGAGAGCGCTCCGGAACGCTCTGGAGCGATTTATCCCGATCCTAGCCCTGTTTTATCCCTCCCCCCGATCCGTTCCCTCCCGAGTCGTCTCTGCTGCCGGCCCCGAGGCCCCGCGAGGCCCCCCCCCGAGGCCGGGAGCCGCCAAAAGCCCCCCCCCCCCTGCCTCATGTCGTGGCCCCGCAGCGCCGCCCTCCCCTCCGCCCCCCCGATGTCGTGGCCCCGCAGCGCCGCCCCCCCCCCCCGCAACTGGCCGCCACGGCCAGGGGCCGCCCCCGACCCGCCTCCGCGAGCCCCGCCGCCAGCCCGCGGCGCAGGGCCTCCGGCGCCAGGGCGCTGCTCTCGAAGTAGCGGTCCTCCACCTCTGGCGGCGCAGGGCGTTCGGGCAGAGGATCGACGGCAGCACCGAGGAGCCCCAGGCTTCGGCGGCGAGCGAGGGGGGGGAAGCGAGAGGGAGAAGGCCTTCCTCAGCGAGCGGCGGGGGCTTCTCAGAAGCCCTCGCGCCTTCTGAGAGGTCCTTTCTGTCTTCGGGGAAGGCTCAGAAATCTTCTCAGAAGTCCGAGGGACTTCCGAACCTTCTGAGAAGGCCCGCCCCTTCTCACTTCCATTCCTCGCTCGCCGCCGACAAATTGTTGCTCGTCGAATCTACGGAACAAGTACGTCGAATGTTCCGTAGGTCTAGTGAGCATTCTACGTCAGAGTGAGGGGGCCGAACGGTCATTCATCGTCCCTGGGTGCGTGGCTGAAGTGGGGGTCCGTGGTAAAAATGTTGCTTGTTGCGTTGTTGTTGTTTATTTGTTTGTATGTTTAATGTCGTCGTCCCGCCCGCGACCCACCCGCGACCCACCCGCGACCCACCCCGCGACCCACCCCCGCGACCCATTTCGCGACCCATTTCGCGACCCGCCCGCGACCCACCCGCGACCCACCAGCGACCCACCTACGACCCCGCCCGCCACCCACCCGCGACCCAACCGCGACTCACCCGCGAGCCATCCGCGACCAACCCGCGACCCACCCCGCGACCCACCCACACTGCTTGAACAAAAATCGGCGCCTGCGGCTGGCTCGTTGTACAACTTGTAGAAATTAGGCGCCGCTTCTTCAGAGCCTCGCAGACTGCAGACGTTCCCGCCGCCCGCATCACTCGTATCCGCGACTGCGGGGTGCTACGGTACTTATCTTAGAATCGACGGGTAATATCAGTGTAAGGGTCAATCAATTCTGTAGTCGATACCCTACTCGAAGCATGGCGATGGCCATGGCCAAGACATGAGCGTGGAGACTTCGGTGTCCATCTTGGGCATCGTCCATCCCAGACCCCCTCGCATTGTGGCAAAAATCACTATGGGCATTTTCTTTCCCCATTTTCGGCCTCCAGAGGCCCTCGCGAAGTCCCGGGGCCGTCAAACAATAACTCAGGCTGAAAAACTGGTCCCGGAGAAGGGGTCCAGGCCTCTAGGAGTCGACGTCGTGGAACAAACACGACGTAAGGGGTCTGGGGACAGAGCGCGGAGACGTCAGTGTCCAACTTGACCATCGTCCATCTTGGCCATCTCTGCAGGAAAGTGGTTGCAAACATCGGATTGTCGATTATCCGTATCATCGGGCACTCCAGCCTCTGGCCCGCAAGATCTCCCCAGCCCATGCTCGAGATCTCCGAGCACGAGGACCATGGGAAATGCTGGGCAACTCCAAGGTGTGAAAAAACCGTTCGTGCCAGAATCCTTCTCGAGACCCGCACGCCTTGGCTGCGCCGCACAGCAACACCGTGCCGACGCCGACCTGCGCGACCTGCGGCAGGATGCGCTCCAGCTGCTGCGGCCGCGGCAGCGCCAGCAGCACGTCGACGAGAGGGGGCGGCATCGGGCTCGGCAGCCACGGGCCCTCCAGCAGCACCTCCGCCGCCTCCGGGACCAGCATCTTCCCCTGCCCCGGGTACATGCGCCGCCTCTCTAGGGGGGCAACCAGAACATGCGAGCGACGGAAAACACGGGCCTTACCGTCGGACCCAGGACAGAAGAACAGAATTCAAGCACGCGAAGGCATTCGAGGGTACCCTCCCCCACGTGGGAGACATGTGGCGGACCCCGGAGACCCTGAACCCAATCAAGTTGTCATGTCTTGGGGGCGCATCTTTCACTCCCGCCGCCTCCCGCCGAGCTTCCGCCGAGCTTCCGCCGGCGGAGGCGGCCCCGCTCTGCTTCTGCCGGCCTTCCGCCGCCTTCCGCGGCGGAAGAGATGCCAACTCCTCCTCCTCCTCCTCCTCCTCCTCCTCCTCCTCCTCCTCCTCCGGCGGCATCGAGGGCAGGGCCCTCTTTGGGCACGCCTCCTGCGAGCGACGGGGGAACAAAAGACGGGCCTCACGCGAGAAGGCCTGGCCACCGTGCGCGGCGGCGTCTCACGCAGGCCGTCGCCGCGGCACGCCGCGCGGAGAGCGCGGCGCTCCGCGCGGCCGCCCGCGCGGGAAGCTGCCGCGAGCGTGTCCGCGCGGGGGGCCTCGCTCTCTTCTGCCGCTCGTGTGAGCGGCGATCACACACGGGCCTCACGCGAGACGACGTAGCGACCTCACGCGGCGGCTCACGCGGGCCGCGAGCCGCGAGCCGCTCGCGCGACGCGCTGCACTGGCAACGAGGGCGCTCACGCGAGACCCGACGCGGGCAGCTCACGCGCCCAACGTCGGCGCAGACGACCCCGTCGTTTCGCGTCGCCCGCTTGCCGGCGTCAGTGTGAAGGAGGGGGCTTCCGAGAGGGCAGCTCCGCGGCCCCGCCGGGCCCCACATCCTGCGTGGGGCTCGTGCTTTTTTTAGGCGCTCCACTCCATCTTTCTCAACCTCCTCGCTTCCAATCATCATCACCACCATCATCAGCAGCATCATCATCACCATCATCATATTCATCATCAGCATACTCATCATCATCAACACCATCATCATCATCAGCAGCAGCAGCATCATCATCACCATCATCATATTCATCATCAGCATACTCATCAGCATCGTCATCATCATCAGCATCATCAACAGCATCATCAACATCATCATCAGCATCATCATCATCATCAGCATCTTCAGCATCACAATGTCATCATGATCAGTTTCATTGTCACCTTGATCACCTCCATCAGCTCCTTTCATCATCATCAGCATCATCACCATCACCATCACCGTCGTCAACACATATGTATCACCAGCAGCATCATCATCGTCTACACCAACATCAACAACATCAACATCCTCACATACTTTAGCATCCCCATCATCACCACCATCACCCTCACCACACTCATCGTCATCAGCATCATCACCATCATCATCATCACCACCATCATCACACATACACGCACACTCACACCCTCTCTCACCCACATGCTCATATCGACGAAGTCTCGAGCGGAAACCTCGTGCGTGAGTGAATCGCAAGGGAATGAGACGCGGAAGGCCCCTCCCTGTGGGGCCCGCGGCTCATGTTGGCGAGACGGCCATCGGCAAACCTTGTAACAGCATAGGCTTCGTGACACCTGGCCTGAATCCAACGGAAGTCTCGAGCGGGAGCCTCGTATTTGAGAGAATTGGTAGGAAGTCTCAGGTGGGAGCCCCCTCCCCAAGGGTGCCCGCAACTCATGTTGGTAATCCGAAGCGGCCATCGGCAAACCCTGAAAGCCACACGGTTGGTGACACCTGCGAGCATGAATCCATGGGGCCGCCAGATCATGCTACTCATCCACGCGGGTCATCACACACTTGGGCTTGTCGCCAGGTTGGGGCTCCTGCAATACGAAGCTGGAGGAAGTCCCGAGAAGGGGCTTCTTCCCGAGCGGGAGGAGGAGGAGGAGGAGGAGGAGGAGGCAACATACCGCCATATGAGACGGCGTGGAGGCCGTGGAGGAGGCAGGGCGAGGAGGAGGAGGAGGAGGAGATTTGTTTGCCGAGGCCTAAGCGTGTTTGAGGCGCCTCTGGGCCGAGGCCTGCTTCTCCCTCGCCGCGGCCCCGGGTTGGCGGGCACACCGAGGCCCGCCAGCGGGCGTGCTGACGCGGGCCCCCTTCCGCGGGCGGGACGCGGTGGCGCGTGCGCTCGCCTCGGCCTTCGAGCGCGGAGCCTCGGGCCCCGCACGAGAAACGGGACGGTCGAGATCGGGGTGCAGCCTTCTCATCAATCTCCTGGAAGCAATCGTGCCAACGCTGCTGCGTCCGCCAACCGTCTTGGGGCACGTGCAGCGGCACAGCAGCTCGTACGCCACCTGTCCATGGGCAGAATGCCCGCACGGCAAAAGAGCAAACGGAGGAGGACGAGGTGGTGGAGGAGGAGGAGGAGAAGGATGCGACGATGATGACGACAATGTTGATAATGCTGATGCTGCTGCTGCTGCCGATGATGATGGTAAGACTGGTGATGATGATGATGATGATGATGATGATGATGATGATGATGATGATGATGATGATGAGACTGAGGCTGATGGTGAGGATAATGTTGATGATGCTGTTGATGCTGATGATGATGATTGTGGTGGTGCGGATGATGCTGGCGATGTTAATGATGATGATGATGATGATGAAGATGCTGCTGATGATGATGATGATGATGATGATGCCGATGATGATGGTGATGGTGGTGATGATGATGCTGATGGTGGTGGTGCGGCCGAAGCTGATGCTACACATGACGCTGGTACTGACAACGAGGGACCTGATGATGATACTGATGATGCTGATGAAACTGCTGAAACTGATGATCGTGATACTGACGTTGACGATGCTGCTGATGATTAGTTATAGGAATGCTGATGGTTATCATGGTGACGATGATGGTAATGACGATGCTGATGATGATGATAATAAGGATGATGATGATGATGATGACGGTGATGCTGATGGTGACGATGACAAGGAGGAGGAGGATCATGCTCCTGTTGATGATGGTGCGGATGATGATGAGATGATGCTGAGGATGATGATGTGGATGAGGATGAACAGGAGGATGGTGCTGTGATGATGATGAGGATGATGGTGATGACGATGATGAATCTTATACGATGATGACGAAACTGATGATGATGCTGAGGAGGAGGAGTACCAGGACGAGGCTGATGATGAAGATGCTGATGCTGATGCTGATGCTGATGCTGCTGCTGATGATGATGATGATGATGATGATGATAATGATGATGACGACGATGATGATGACGAGGAGGGGGAAGAGGATGAGGAAGAGGATGACGATGGCAATGACGCGGAAAATGAGGAGAAGGAGGAGGAGAAAGCAGCCCAAGGACGAGGCAGAACGAACAGGAGAAGGAGGAGGCGGAAACAAGAGGAGGAGGAGGAAGAGGAGGAGGAAGAGTACCCCGGCAAGCCCCAGAAGGCTCCAGGAGGCCCCAGGAGGCTCCAGGTGGATGCCCCAGGAGACCACAGGAGGAGGCAGGATGTCCAAGGAGATGGCAGAAGGCATGGGGAGGAGGCGGAGGAGGAGGAGGAGGAGGAGGAGGAGGAGGAGGAGCAGGCGGAGGAGGAGGAGGAGCAGGCGGAGGAGGAGGAGGCAGAAAGAGAAGGAGGAGGAGGCAGGAGAGGGGAGCAGGAGGACATCTGCAGGCAAGCTGAGCATACAAGACTGGGGCCTTACCGTTGTTGTTTTTCTCTTCGCGAGGCGCCGTCGCGAAATCGGGTGCTGCGGCGCCGCCGCGGGGCTCCGCCCTGGGGCGTCCAACCACGCGGGGGGGCTCGCGGAGCCCGGCCCGAGGCAGGCGCGCGCGGCCCAAGGGGGCCCCAAGGGGGGGGGGAGGCAGGGCACGTAGGGGGGGGGGACTCAAGGGGGGGGGGGAGACTCAAGGGGGGGGGGGAGACTCGAGGGGGGAGACTCCAGGGGGGGAGGGCTCAAGGGTGGGGAAACTCAAGAGGGGGGGAGACTCGAGGGGGGGGGGGGAAGGCAGGGCACGCAGGGAAACAGGAAGCGCGGGCCACGAGACACGGCGAGGTGTCCTGGCCCCAGCTAGGACATCCCCCCCTCTCCCCTCGTCAGCGCCCCCATGTTCGCCGCCCCCGAGCCTGCCGATGCTGCAACTTCCCTGGCATCTCCCAGGGCCCGCTCCTACCAGGACTCCGAGTCGAACCCCGCCGTGGCGACTGGGGCCAACCGAGGGGTCCAAGAGAGACAAAAACGAAAGAAAAGCATCGGTATCGGTACGGCAGGTTCGCGTCGTGATGCCTTGTGTATCAGTTTCTGTCAGTTCGCGCGTGGACCGTTCAACCTTGTGGCTTCCGACAGCGCAAATTGTTCGAAGTCGGCCGATGCCAAACACTTGGCGGCGTTCACCCTTGAACGCCCGCGCTGGGGTCGCCACCGAGTAGCAGAGTCAACGCGGCGCGAATCTGCCGTATGATTGTTTCTCCTCTGAGCCTCCTCGGCTTCTCGCCTGGATCTGGCCACAACCACCGCAGCCGCGCCGACTCGGCCACGCCTCGGGAGTTGCCAGAAGTGTCCTGGGCCCACGGTGCCGCTGGCTTTACGCGCCTCATGGGGCCCACTGGGCCTCGTGGCGGATGCTCTGGCGAGCCATCTGAACGACAATCAAAAACGGGTCTTACGCGAGGTGGCGTAGCGACCTTACGCGGCGGCTTACGCGGGCCGCAAGCGCGGCACGCTGCATTCAAAACGAGAGCGCTTACGCACGACCTTAACCAACTGCCACTGATATTAATCCCCATGAGATAATGAAGTTCGGGGTCCAGGGGATGATAAACGCTTGCCCAGCAGATCGCAGCAGGAAGGACGTCTAGGATGACAATGATGATGCTGATGATGCTGGTGATGATGATA